AGTGGGGTGGGTGGAGGGTGCTAAAACCATGGGAGAGCCCTGGCCGGGTAGCTCAGTTACTTAGAGCATCATCCTAATACACCAAGGTTGCATTTGGATCTCTCACATACAGGAAGCAACCAATGAATGTATAAATAAGTGGAACAACAAATCGATGCTTCTCTCTCTCTCTCTCAAAATCAATAAATTAAACAAACATGGGAGCAAGTGCGCACCGCAGGAGAGATGCTCAGCCCCGGAAAGGACTGAGGGGCTCCCAGCAAGGATCTTTGGAAGTCGGCTACACACCTTTATTGAGCAGAAAATATTTAGAACTGAGCCCTGTGAAACTCCTAAATTTAGGATACAGGTCAAAGTAGGGAGGCCTGGAAAAGAGCAGAGAAAATGGGGGGGAAAGCAGGAGGAAGTGACGGGGAAGGATTCCAAGGTAGGGGAGACTGGCCGGGCCGGGGTGGAGGGGCGGTGGGGACTGAGAGGCCTGGGACCCCCCTCCCGGCGGAGAGGTGGAGCTACTCTACCGCTTCCGCCTCTTCCTCGCCGCTCCCGCCCCACCCTCTCCGTCCCGGAAGTGGTCCCTCCGTGGCTCCGGGTGCGGGGAGCTGAGTCTCCGCGCTCCCGGAAGTGGCCCAGCGGCTGCGCGCCCGGCCGGGGCCGCTCTCGCTCCTGCTGGGGCGCTGCGGCTGCTCCCGTGTCCCGGCGTCGCCATGACTAGCGAGCTGGACATCTTCGTAGGGAACACGACCCTCATCGACGAGGACGTGTACCGCCTCTGGCTGGATGGTTACTCGGGTCTGTGGGGGACCGTCTCGGGGAGCCAGGCGGGCCGAGCGGTTGTTTTGAATGGGTGAAGGGGCGGAGCCTGGACTTGGACGTCTTATAGGGAAGCGGGCAGAGGAGAAACAGCTGTATGGAGGTCGGGGCTGGAATCCCTGGAGGGGCTTTGAGGTCGGCGGGGTGTGACCTGATGCTAGCGCCTACTCCCCAGTGAACGACGCGGTGGCCCTGAGGGTGCGCTCGGGAATCCTGGAACAGACGGGTGCCACGGCAGCGGTGCTGCAGAGTGACACCATGGACCACTATCGAACTTTCCACATGCTCGAGCGCCTGCTACACGCACCGCCCAAGCTGCTGCACCAACTCATCTTCCAGATCCCGCCCTCCCGACAGGCGCTGCTCATCGAGAGGTGGGGATGCCAACCACTCTTGACCATATACCCATTTTAAAGGCTGAAACAGGCCCTGGAAGGGATGGGACTTATCAGGGCCCGTGAGAAAGTTGAGAGCACAAGGGGCCAAACCCAGGCTCTGCCAGGCCCCCTTTCCCCTCCTTTATGGAAAGTCAGTAGTGTCCTCTAACCTCCATGCAGGTACTATGCCTTTGATGAAGCCTTTGTGCGAGAGGTCCTGGGCAAGAAGCTGTCCAAGGGCACCAAGAAAGATCTGGATGACATCAGCACCAAAACCGGCATTACCCTTAAGAGCTGCCGAAGACAGGTGGGCACTGCAGCGCCCTCCTCACCAACACAACATTCCATCTCTAGTCCACCCCTTCACTCCATCCATTTGGCCACTGCCCCAGCTCCAATCTCTTGCCCTACCTCTGATTGTGGCAGCAGCTTCATACCCAGTCTCCTCCCCTGTTTTTGTCCCTTCCAAGCCATGCCCTACTCTTTGGCTAGAGTGACCTTTCAGAATCCCAGAGCTGACCATAGCTTTCTTCTGCACATAAACTTCAATTGTCTCCCACTCCCTTCTGGATAGTAGCCACACTGTTTGGCCTTGCCCTTCATACTCTCCTGTGATCTGGTCCCTGCCAGCCTCTCTAGGCTTACATCTCCCCAGTGTCCAGCTTTCTTTTGCTCATGCTGCTCCTACCTGGAGGGTACTGTTCTTGGCCATATCTACTTCTTGAAATCCATGGCAGAGTCAGATGCCACCTTCTCCACAAGCCTTTCTGGTGGTGCCAAGGAGAAGTAACCCTTTCTCTGGATCTTTAGTGCCTTTTCTCTGTCTCCTGTGTGCTCCCTGCATACAGCTTAACATTTGCTCTTCCTGGGCCTTAGCCAGGAGGGTCAGTTCCAGCACAAGCTTGTGAACTGGAGAGTGTGATGCTAAAAAGTAGGAGTGAATTCAGAGGTAGGAGTGAGTAGACGCTTATCCAAGCCAGGGTGGCAAAAGCTGGTAGACATTTGTTGAATTGATAACTTACCGAAGGAATAACAGATCGACACCTGTTGACTGGATAGGTAGGTGAGGGACAGTGTTCAATAAACAGTTTGTTGGGTGAGCAGGTTCTGACCAGTCCTCCCTCCCCTAACTGCCCTGCAGTTTGACAACTTTAAACGAGTTTTCAAGGTGGTGGAGGAAATGCGGGGCTCCCTGGTTGATAACATCCAGCAACACTTCCTTCTCTCTGATCGGTTGGCCAGGTAAGGGACCAGGCGAGAAGCCATTTATCTCCCCCATTCTGCACACTCCTTCCCTGGGCCCTGAGGCTGGCCCACCTTCCTCTCCCCAACCCACTTGACTTCCTGGCTGTGTTGGGGGAATGGTTATCTCACTCATGGTCTGTAAATTGGATCAGACTGGCCTGGGTTCAAATCCCAGCCCAGCCATTTACCAACTGGGCTGCTGTGAGGTGCCATATGTAAAGTGCATGGCACAGCCCCCAGGGCTTGGGATGTGCTTAATAAGTGGTAACTGTTACCCTTGTAGTCTCCTGCTGTATGTCTTAGGAGACCTGGGTTGAAACCTCTTTTCACAGATGGGGAGGCCCAGAGAATGGTGACTTGAACTTGTCATACAGTGAGTTAGAGCAGAGAGAGGCCAGAAGTCATGCCCAGCAGATGTTGCAAATGGGAGCTGCTTGCTAAGAAGGAATTTCCAGCTCTCACATATCCACTTTCCCCTCCCTGCAGGGATTATGCAGCCATTGTCTTTTTTGCCAACAACCGCTTTGAGACAGGGAAGAAAAAACTGCAGTATCTGAGCTTTGGTGACTTTGCCTTCTGTGCTGAGCTTATGATCCAGAACTGGACCCTTGGAGCCGTCGGTGAGGCCCCCACTGACCCAGGTGCCTGACACCTCCCCACCCTCTCAGGGCCTGCTATCCCACCAGGCCCCTAGTTTCCAGCATTCTTTCTTCTTCAGGGCCCCTCCCCAGCCACCTCTGCTCATAGTCCAGTGTCCCCGCACAGACCTTGTCTGCGGACACAGGGCCCACTACTTCTCTATGGCCTGGGGCAAAGCATTCCACCTCCCTGACACTCTGATTTCTGTCTTATGGGGGTGCAGTGTGGTGGGTAAGGAAGGCTTGGGCTAACACAGGAGGGGATTTTGTACCCGCTTCAACTCCTTTCATGGGCCTTAGACTCCCAGGTGGATGACATGGATGTGGACTTAGACAAAGAGTTTCTCCAGGACTTGAAGGAGCTCAAGGTGCTAGTGGCTGACAAGGACCTTCTGGATCTGCATAAGAGGTGACTCAGGGGGGTGTCCATCAGGTGGAGCCTGAAGTGGGGGCCCAGGAAGCTCTAGGCTTAACCCTGTCTCCCTGCAGCCTGGTGTGCACTGCCCTCCGGGGAAAGCTGGGTGTCTTCTCTGAGATGGAAGCCAACTTCAAGGTCTGTGGCCGGAGCCAGCCTATGGCCCCTGGGCATCTTCAGCCTCCAGTTCACTGTCCCCTCTGACAACTCTATTCATGCCCTAGATTGACCGGCAGGTGGCACTGCTGCTCCCTCTGCCCACCTGTGATGGGGGAACCAGCTCCTAAACACTGGGGAGTTACTTAATTGAGGGAGGTGGATAGATTTGGGGAGGGGCCTGCCTCTGGGGCAGAAGACAGAACTCCCAGGCTCCCTGCCCCACAGAACCTGTCCCGAGGGCTGGTGAATGTGGCTGCCAAGCTGACCCACAATAAGGACGTCAGAGACCTGTTTGTGGACCTGGTGGAGAAGGTGAGCTGTCCTCTGAGCACTGCCCACTCATCCCCACCTGGCCTCTCTGAGCTGTACCAGGTCTGGATGTTCCCTTGGGCCCACAGTTCGTGGAGCCCTGCCGCTCTGACCACTGGCCCTTGAGTGACGTGCGTCTCTTCCTGAATCAGTATTCGGCTTCGGTCCACTCCCTGGATGGCTTCCGGTAAGTGACCCAGGCCGCCTGTTCAGCGTGGCCTTGCCCCAGCCAGCCTCCTGCCAGGGCCTGGCCTTCCTGCAGACTCGAGGTTCCCTGTTGTGCCACCCTGAGGGTGAAAGTCTGTGGACCAGATTCCTGGCTCCACCTCCGAGAAGCTCTGACTTAGCCTTGGGCAGGTTCCTTAATCTCTCCATGCTTCAGTTTCCTCATATCTAAACTGGGGGTGATAATGGTAAGGAGTGGGAGAATGTGGTGAGGATTAAAGGGTGAAGGTAGGGAGAACACTTAGCAGTGGCCTGACGTGGTCACGGCGAGCCTCAGCTGTTACTGTTCCCATTATCCTTGCAGGCACCAGGCCCTCTGGGACCGCTACATGGGCACCCTCCGTGGCTGCCTCCTGCGCCTCTATCATGACTAAGGCCCCCTCCCCCCCCTCTACTCACACTGACAATAAAGTTGCCATGACTTTGGAGGAGCCTGTGCCTGGGTACACATAGGGGTTCGTGTGTGGGAGGTGTGCATGTGTGTGTATCTGGCCCTGCAGGGACTAGGACATGCCTAGGAATGGTGTCTATGCTCTCCCTCTCCATTTCCCCACCCAGCTGAGTCCACTTGGAATACAGAACCTTATCTTTGTTTATTCAACCCTTAGCAAGACAATTTGGAGGACTGGAGAAGACTTTGGGGTGTGGCCTGCAAGGAGGCAGCTTGCTTAGCAGGAGAGAGCTGAGGGGTAGGCTCAGGGAGGGCAGGTGACTTGATGCTGCTTCTTAACTGGTTGATTCACTCGGGCAGTAAGCGGGTACTTGGTGATACCACAGGCATTGCTCCCTCGGTGCAGCCGGAAATAACCCTAAGAAGTCAGAAGACATCAGGGCCAGAAGGTGGGGAGAGGCCTGTCCTGTTCTGTCCCCGCAATAGGTCACACTTACCTTCTCACCCCAGTCGGCCCCCCAGGAGTTCTTTAGGATCCAGTATGGGGTGGAGTGACGACGATGAGACTGGGATGAGACTGTCTTTGCCTGCCTCCCCTCCACCGACTTGGTCTTACCAAAACCCACCAGCAGGACAGCATGGTCCACATGTTGAGGGTCACAGGTGGTTCGTGTGGCCCTGATCACACCCTGCTGGTATTGCTGCAAGGGCAGAGGCAGAGGGGCTAAGTCTGGGGCCAAATCCCCATATGTTCCTCCGCCCATTCCCTACCCTGTCGCACCTGCAGTAGAATCTTGTTGATGGTCACAGTGATGGGGCCCTCAGTGGCCAGGTACCGGGCAATACCTGGGGGTAGAGGTGCCATCAGGCCATGCCTGCCCAGTTTCCCCTGCTCTCAGCTCATGGTTGTCTCCGTCTCTCTCCCTCCCACCCCCATTCCTCCATCTCTGTCTGTAGCCCTGTCTGTCTGCCTCTGTCCTGGTTTGTTTATCCCTGTCACCCCCCC